AGTCGGGCGCTGACCGTTACAAAGGGCGGCCGGTGCTTTAATTTTTTCGGTGCGATGGAATCCAAAGAGAAAGTCGTCCATGAGAAATTGATTCGCGGATTGTTGATGCGACGCGCCGGTGTTAAAAAAGAAAGTGACGTTGTTAAGGGAATTGATGAGAAAAATGGTAGGAGTTTTTTTTTGATAACATTTTTATCGATTGGTGCGGATTTAATGCACATAATATAGCTTTTTCTATCAGCATGTAAAAGAATATAATAGAAATACCCTGTTCTAATTCTATAGTTCTCGAATTCTCCATAAAGTCCTATACGTAGGATGACGAATTATATTTACGCAACATAATATTGATTATTCAACGAGCAAGATATTTCGTTTTTGATCGGCTTCCACCAATTTTATTTTTTTAAATACGGTCCTGTATATTAATTTGTACAGGGTGTATTCTTATATTTTCACACCCCACCACACCTTCAATACGGATTTCCTAGTTTTTTTTTTAAACAATCTTTTAACAAATTAACATTTTTTTCCTGACATTCTGTATATTTTTGGAATGGGGAAAAAAATTAAAAGCGAGCTAAATTTGACTTTTATGAAAAACTCAACAGCTTTTGTATTTATATACACTTTGCTTCTACCTTTGAAAATATAGGCTGTGGCGGGGTGTCAAAATAAGATTCTATTTCTGCATTTTCATCAAAAGATGCCGGTGCAAACTCAGTCATTTCCATTAAGTTGATACAGAGCGCCATTTATGAACAATCAAGTCAACAGTCAAAAATAGAAATTGCATTGGCTAGGTTTAAGTGGGTTTACATCAGAACAATAAAATAATAGGTACAGCATGTTCTAGGGAAAACACTCCACCCGATTTATTGGATTTGGAATGAAAATCTAGGAAAACGTTCGGACACGTCGATTTTTGATTTGAGAGGGAACTATTTTTCAGTTTTTTTCATTTTTGTAGCTTCAACCTCCTAGCTAGAGAGAGAACGACCTTACAAATTTGAATAGGAGATAGGGGTCGTATCATACCTCATGTTAAAGGTCTCTAGAGTTTTTGGTTGACCATTTGATGTTTCTTCGACTATAGTAATTGATTATGCTCCTGATTTTCTGGACTGGCAGGAGTCACAACTATTTCGTTAATATTTATATTGAAATCAACTTTTCTTTTATGAACTATTTCTTCTTTTTTCTTTGCCGTCCGATGTTCGTAAGAATACTGACCTTTTTGTTTGATCATCAACTTTTGTTATGGTTGCACCTTCCCATTGTCTGTTGGGAAGTTGTACGCTAATTGAATCTCCTATTTTATAGTTCTGAAGGTTGAGTGGCATGTTTGTCTGCATAATATTTTTCTTTTTCTCTCAATCTTTTCAATTAATTTGTGACATATTTTACAATATATGGTTTCAACTTTTCAGTGTTTGCTGGAAGTAATGTCTTGGTAATTCTGCTAAAAAGTCTTTGATTAGGTGAACCCAGCGACGACGGGTTTCTAGGTGCATTTCTGTAGTTGAGTAGAGCAATCTGTATATCTGATTTGTCGTCTATACATTTTTTTAACAAATTTTTTGGATGATGGACTACTAAATAGTTGCATGCTGAAAAATCCTTAAATTTCTAGAAATATATTGCGGTCCATTATCAGTTTCTAGTTTTTCAGGAGTTCCATGAACTGCAAACCATTCCTTGAGATAGCCGATTACTTCCAAGCATGTCTGATTTCTGAGTTTTTTCACGTTCAAAAACCCAGAGTAACTATTGTAAATAGTAATATAAACATCTGGTAGTGGCTTCAATAAAATGGTTTCCTTCTAATTAGCTCTTTGATATTTTTCACAAACTCTGCATTTCTGAACATAAATAAGAATATCTTGTGATATAATTCTCCACTAAAGTAGTTCTTTTGCTCGTTTAAGACAACTTTGGATACCAAAATTACCTTCATGAATATTTCCCAACATTTTAAGTACCTGAGATCCTGGAACCATAATTTTTTCGCCTTTGAATTTGAGTTCGTCTCTGAAAGTTACGTACCTAGTGCTTAATATTTTTGGGTACATCGTCTGAATTTGGAAATCCGTGTGATATGAACTTTCATAGTAATTGCAGCTCTGAATCCAATTTTGTAGCTTCTATTAATTCTTCCTTGACATTCTCGGTCATAGAAAGGGCAATTCGTATTTCTAATTCTTCCTCGTTTTCTAGATTTTTTTCAGTTTCTTCACAATCCCTACTTAAAATATATCTGCCAAAGGTATATCTTTACCTTTTTTGTATATTATTTTGGGTGAATGCTGTGATACTTCCAATAATATTCGTTTAGCCTAGGTAGCGCAAAGTGAATGGGTTTTTTGAAAATAGCTTCTAATGGCTTATGGTCTCTTTCTACTGAGTTTCTTGCCATATAGGTACATACTGATGAAATTTATCACATCCAAATTTTATTGCGTACGCTTCTTTGAGGCCAATTTTGCTGTAACGGTGTTGATGATCTAGTAGCATATGCGATGGGGGTTGATTTTCTTGCATCAAGGCAGTTCCTAAATTTTTCGAACTAGCATCTATTTACTGATAATGTAACATCCTTATTTACATCATAAAATTTCAGAATTGGTGCACTAGTCAACTGTACCTTTATTTTGTCGAAAGCTTTGTGTTGTACTATGTCCCAAATAAATTCCACATCTTTTTTAAGAAGCTTTCGCAAAGGATTTGTAAGCTCAGACATATTTGGCATGAATTTATTCAAATATGTTATCATTCTTAGCAATCTTTGTAGTTCTATTAGTGATTTTTTCTACACCTTCCAAGAAGTCGGAATAAATAGGAATATCGTCCATTGAGCAGTGAGTGTTTGGAATGTTTTTAAACAAGGAACTCATTATTTCTTGAAATATCTCTCGTGCTGAACAGATTCCAAATGGTAGACGAATGCAACTATAACGCCCTCATGGTGTTGAGATATTATTGAGACTACTCTACAACTTTTATTTGCCAAAACCCTCGTTTGCAATCTAAAAGTGTAAAATATTTGGCTTTACCGCATTTGTGCTGAAATTTGTTCCATCGTTTTCAGTGGGTAATGTCTTCTTAAAATGTTTTTGTTAATATCTTTAGGATCTATGCAGATTCTCAATTTACCTTGTTACTAACTGCAGGAGTAGGTGCTTAATGACACCTAACTTAACCATATTTTCCAATTTTTTTTTCATTTCATCTCGTATGGCAAATTGTATTTTTCTTGCAGGCCTTATTTCAAATTTTGGACTTTCTATGAAATCAATATTTGTATCCATAATTTTTTGAACAACCTAATCCTTGAAAAATGCTACACCTAATTGGACTTTGTTATTTCGCAGCAATGTACAAGGTGTTTCAAATTCGAACCACATCATTGGGATCTCGGAAACGGTAAGATATACAGGGGTGGTTAAATGGGGACAAAGTTGCGTAATTTTATGCTTAACAAAATGTCGCTTTGATATTTAGGATATTCCAAATACTTCCGGAGATATCCGGAAAAAACCGAAATTTTGCAAAATTGTTTTTATTTTATCCTGACTTTATTTGAAGTGATATTCCAAAAAAAATATCACTTCATCATGGCCACTTTTTCTCCCCTACAAGATGCTACCATCAAATTTAAAATCTGACGTTTCGTCTTTGGGCCACCATCATCAACTCTATTTTTTAAATACGACCCTGGATTTTTTATTTCAGATTTTTAGTGCTTCTGATGTCCCAAAACCTATGACGTATCGCATTTATTCGAAAAAATATTTTTTCTACTTTTTAGTAATTTCCTACCAAAATTCTCTTCTCTGTCTCTCTCTAACACATTTGGTTCTTATGGAAAGTATCAATAATATAAATTTTTTGAATAAATGCAATACGTTGTTGATTTTGGGACATCAGAAGCTTATGAAATCTAAAATAAAAAATAAGGGTCCGTATTTAAAAAAATGAAGTTGATGATGGTGGCCCAAAGGCGAAACGTCAGATTTCAAATTTGATAGTAGCATCTTGTAGGGGAAAAAACGTAGCGATGATGAAGTGACATTTATTTTGGAATATCACAAAACAATTTTGCAAAATTTCGGCTTTTTCCGGATATCTCCGGAAGTATTTGGAATATCCTGAATATCAAAGCGGCATTTTGTTAAGCATCCAATTACGCAACTTTGCCCCAATTGAACCAACCCTGTATATCTTACCGTTCCCGAGATCCCAATAATGTGGCTCGAATCTGAGACACCCTGTACACGTACAATTCAACCTAGTTTGTGACAGGATTTTCTTCCTAGAATGAGATGCACCTCATATTAACTACCTATCTTAAATATTCAGGATTATGATGTATCATTTTCTGTTATTTTAACAGCAACGTTAAGTTGTCTGTCACTGTTTACTCTATACATCAAAATAGAGAAAAGAATAGATGTTGAGCTATAACATAGCTGTTAAAATAACAAGAGAGGATACATCATAGGCCTGAATATCTCTACTAAGATTTATCAATATGAGATTTTACTTGTGCTTCACCTTTTACAGGTATTTTGTCATTTGTATAGTTAACCAAAATTTTAGTTTTTGAAGGTTTTAACTGCAATTTCAGTTAATCAAAAAGCCGCTTTGGTAGAACATTACATTGGGCTCCAATATTGAGCTTCACCAAAAGTGATTTATTTTTCACTGTTATGGTTTTTTGGTATTGAGCAAATGAACAAAAAGCACTGCATTTATTTCAGTTTAATAATTTAGACCTGCTATTTCGATTGGAAAAGTCAAAATGTGCAAAATATAAAAAATAAAAGTTTCAATACCTCGAAATTCGTAAGAGATATTAAAATGTAAAACTTTGTCCCAACCTAACAAATACCCTGTATCTCTCACGGTTACCGAGATTCTCATACTTACTCGTGCATTTTTAACACCCTGTATAGCAAGAATTTAAAAAAAAAAAACTAAATCAACTCTTTTTATTCCAGATACCTGGCCAATGCCAGAAATGGTGGGATTCTACGGCCAAGCCTCACTACCAGTATCCCCAGCTCTTCATCCAACATCCGAAGACCTATCCGTCAAAAAACTAGTTTGCAGCCCAGACTTGCCTTTGCCAGCTTTTCCCTCCCAAGCCCAACAACCCGGTGAACAGTGCCCCACTTGCCGCAAGATGTTCGCCACCAAACAAGCTCTACAAGCTCACCAGCGTCAGGCTCACGTAAAAGACGACGGGCCCGATCCGTACAGGTGCAACATTTGTTCGAAAACTTTTGCGGTGCCCGCTCGGCTAACGCGTCACTATCGTACTCATACCGGCGAAAAACCGTTCAGATGCGAGTTTTGCGATAAAAGCTTCAGCGTAAAGGAAAACTTGAGCGTCCACAGACGTATCCACACTAAGGAGAGACCCTACAAATGCGAAGTTTGCTCTAGAGCGTTCGAGCATTCCGGCAAACTGCACAGACACATGAGGATTCACACCGGCGAACGCCCCCACAAGTGCACAGTTTGCTCTAAAACTTTCATCCAGTCTGGACAATTGGTTATTCACATGCGGACGCATACTGGCGAGAAACCTTACGTATGCACTGTATGTCAAAAAGGGTTCACTTGCAGCAAACAACTAAAAGTACATTCGAGAACTCACACTGGAGAAAAACCTTATTCGTGTGAGATTTGTGGTAAATCTTTTGGATATAATCATGTTTTGAAGCTTCACCAAGTGGCTCATTACGGCGAAAAAGTCTACAAATGCACCATTTGCAATGACACGTTCAATTCCAAAAAGAGCATGGAAGCTCACATCAAAAGCCATTCAGATAATGTCTCGTCTGTAGCCATACAACATCCACCACAACCACCGACCCCACCCTCCTCAAATCCGTCTAGTGAATCTGGCATTAGCGACAAAGAAAACTTCAAAAGTCCAATGGAAGAAGACGCCCCATCTGAAATAAGAATATCACCAGAACCTGACGATATATATTACTTATATTCACGAGGTGGTTTATCTCCTGCTTACCTGCAAACATCTTATCCAGCCTCTTCCGCTGGGGTAGAATTACTAGCAGCTGCAGCAACCGCAAGAGAAAGTGCCGAATTTTACTCAGCAACTGGACAAGACATTTTGTTTAGTTTCATGAAATCGAATAATCAACCCTTGAGACATCCGGCTTACTTTCCAAGTGCACCGGTGGCACCTTTAACAGCGGGAGACGATATCAGGAAACGTGTCGAAGCCGCTTTGGTTTTGAACGAAATGAGTAGTTATTCTGAAGAAGAACCGCCAACAGTTGTTTCTCCAACACCTCCAGCTTCACCCGATCCAGAACTGAGCTTACCGCCCAGAAAACGTTCCAGAATGATTCAAAGGTCAATGGAAGATACTATTGATTTATCGCCTGTGAGGTACAGTGTGATTCAATATGCCGGGGCATCGTAAGACATGTGTGCAATAAAGACACTTTATTTGATGTTTTGCTTATATTTTTTTAATTTTCGTTTCTGTGATAAGACTGTTTTTTTGAAAATGTGTAGGTGTCTCTTCTTTTCGTAATTTTTTTGAATGTAGTGCCTGATACATGTGGCGGGAGCCTTTGCAATAAAAATAAATTTTGTAGTTTGTGTGATTTTTTGCGAGTGTAAAATTCTAATCTAAATCTTAATAACACAATATTATTATTATTATTATTATTGCCCCAGATGAAATCTTATCGTTTCACTATTTGTACATTTTGAAGTATTTTATTAAATAAAATAATTTTTGGATTCGATAAGATTTTATTTTTTGCAATTCTTATTGGGTAATTCTGGGTTCCTTTTTCTATTTATTCTTGATTATATTTCCCCAGAAATACCGTGTATGCATGGTGTATAGGATTAAAATAATTCCAATTTAATTTTTGTTTTTTGTTGTAATAATTATTTATCCTTTTCTGATTTAATCAGAGGATTCCGAATGTTTTCGTGTTTTTTCGTTTTATAAATGTTACATTTTAATTATGTATAATTAATAATAATTGATAGGCAAAAAAAAAATAACGTACTGTACACTTAAGTCTGAGCCGCCGCGGTTTTGTCCTCGCAAACTGTAACGGTCTATTATTGTATTCCTTATATAAAAAAAAATAAATATTTGTCGTATAGTAGCTGTATTCTATATCTTAAAAATATTATTATTATTAATATTAATATTGAAATGGCGAGAGTAATAATAAATAAATAAAAATCAATCTTTTCAAATTTAGTTCTTTTATTTCTAGTGCCCAATTGATTTATAACCAATACAAAGAATAATTATAGTTAAGTATTTACATTACAAGTGCGTTTATGAACATAATTACAATAACGAGTGTGAAAGATTAGTTCTAATCACACGAGTGTTTTGTAGTCATGTTTAAATGCACGTGTGATGTACAACGTTTTATCTACTGAGCGAAAAATAAGAATGTTTTTTCAATCATTTCCGTTTATTAATCGTTGTCTACCTTCATTTTACTTTTACAGGTTTAACTTTGAAATTTATCAAATTCCCAAAAATAGTTGTGTTAGAGATTGATAACCTCGTCCATAACACCACTAGTTGTGTTATGAATTCATAACCTAGCCCATAACACCACTGTTCTGTTATGAGTCTCATGACATAACTCAAATACTAGAAAAATGGTTATGTAAAAACGTCATAACCAAACGCTTGTAGATAATAGTTATTTACATTACAAGTGCGTTTATGAACATGATTACAATAACGAGTGTGAAAGATTAGAACGACGAGGTCGTAGACCGAGTCGTTCTTATCACACGAGTTTTGTAGTCATGTTTAAAAGCACGTGTGATGTACAACGTTTTATCTATAAAGCGAAAAATAAGAATGTTTTTTCAATTATTTTCGTTTATTAGTAATTGTCTACCTTCATTTTACTTTTACAGGTTTACCTTTGACATTTGGTCAAATCACCAAAAATAGTTGTATTATGGATTCATAACCTCGTCCATAACTCCACTAGTTGTGTTATGAGTCTCATGACATAACTCAAATACTAAAAAAATGGTTAGGTAAAAACGTCATAACCGTACGATTGTAGATAAATTAAATAAACGAACGGTAATTTCGTTCGGAGAACTTAGATCAAAATACCGAACGCACAGTAGATTCAAACCTCGTGAAGTTGGCCACAAATGGTGTTGCAACATTAAAACTTCCTGAAAAAGCATTTCAAATGGGATTTTGATATTTATGGTATTGATGGCCGTTTCCACCAACTATTTTAAGGAAGCCTTAACGATAAGTAGGTATTCCCTAAACCTAAACTGACATTTCTCCATGAAAAACTGTCAGTTTAGGGACTACTTAACGTTAGGGCTTCCCGAAAATAGTTGGTGGAACCGGCCATTGAATCTGGAAATTTTTGCTAGAAAATGTAGGGAGGTCTTGTGAAAGGAGTTTATCAATCGGGGCTTCTCCCAAAATAAAGCACGTTACTATTCGCAGTGGAATGAACTTAATAAAATGATATAAAACATAGATAAATATAATAAACCGTATAAGAGTTACCGATTCATATACGCCAAACTGGCAACGTATTTCTTGTAGCACATGGTAGCGCTAGTATAGCTTGGAACTATCTGACAATAATTCTGACATCCGCCTCCCATTCTTATATCTGTTTTTTTTTTAACAGATGTGATAATAGAGGAAGAGAGGTCATAGTTTTTTATCTATTACCTACATTGCGATTTCTAACCTATGAAATGACATTTTCCTAAACACTAATAAATTTACTACAAAAATGAAGAAAACTCAAAGCCTCGTACTTTAAATCAATTTTCCCGACCAAAAACGGCCTGAAAAAGCGGAAAATCCAAAGAAAAACCAGCCAAAATAACATTCCAAAGCCTACTTGATAAAACTTGAATTTTCATTGCTTACCCCATTGAAAAACTGGAAATTTTTGGCGAAAAATGAAGGATATTCAAAGCCTCGTATTTTTAACCAGTTTTCCCGACTGAAACCGGCCTGAAAAAGTGGAGAATTCGAGGAAAAACTGGATAAAATGTAAACACGTCAATTAAAAAAGCCGACTGTCAAAAGAAAAAGTGGCAAATGACATTTCATTACAAGGCCTACTTGATTGAAAGCGGCGTTGCCACATCTCAAATAGGAAAAAAATAAATTTTAAATGGTTTTTTGTTTCACATTTAGTTAATAATCCACCATTATATTGCAATGGCAACTTATTTTTAAGAAAATTTAATAAAAATGACATTGCAAGGCCTGTTTGATAGTGTAAGAGTAAGACAAAGAGGCAGATAAAGTAGGATATAATTCAGGTCTAAAAATGGAAGTTTTTGGAAAAAAAAATTAAGCAAACTTAAAGCCTCGCCCTTAAAGCCACCTTTTTTCGATTAAAAAGCTCCCGGAAAAGCGGAAAATCCAAAGAAAAACGAACATTCCAAAGCCTACTTGATAAAACTAAAGTCTTACTCACTTACACCATTGGAAAATTGGAAATTTTTGGCGCAAAATGTAGGAAATCCAAAGCCTCGTATTTTACCTACTGAAAAAGCCCTGGAAAATCGGAAAATTCGACGAAAAACTGGATAATAATGTAAACACGTCATTTAAAAATAGCCAACTGGCAAAAATGACATTATTACAAGGCCTGCTAGCCTTGCGTTCGGTATTTTGCTCAAAGAGTAGAGCGTGCTGAAGCGGAGTCGTAATCACGTGACCAACGAGCGCACAGAGAAGTTAAACCCTGTATCAGAGCACTAGAAACTTTAATAATCGAATGAGAGTAGTGAATCGAGCACAGTTTTTAACATAAAAATAATATGAAAAATAAAAATGTTAGTACCTACCTACAATGCAATTAAAGTCATTTTGAACTCTTCAAACAATACTCAAACCTTAAGTTTTTTTTTTTGTAATATTCAAGAAATGTTTCCGCAATAATTTTTGGGATCTCTTTCGTAAGCCAGTCCGGCCCTGCAGACACTTATAATCAATTCCAAACAATAAAATATCCTGACCGAACCTGTGGCTCGATTAATACACATGGCGCCATCTATTCGGAACGAATCGAACTAAATCCTTATTTAAACAGAAATATAAAAGTTTCTTCATTCAACTACTCTATTCCTGAAGTTTCATAGGTCTGGAAGAAATAGAATCTTTTGCAGTAAGGATTTAGAACTGATTCAATTTTTATTTCGTAGAACTAGTTCAGAGTCGATCCAGAACCCGTTCTAGTTCAACCGCGGACATGGAAGAACCGCGGTTGAAATAGTTCCAAATCAGTTCTGAATCCCTTTGATGCCAAAATCGTTCAGGTCATTGGTTCATGCCTGGAGATTTGCTCTAGAACAAATTTTAATTAGTTCCGAAATGGTTCGGAATCGCTCCTTTTTATCAATAGCTGGCGCCACCTGTCAAGCGTGAAAGTTGTTTATGAATTTCTAAATAGTTTTTAACACACTACTACTACAGGATAGCCAAGAATCAGGAATCAGGATAGCCAATTCTCATAAGTGGCGTCTTCCGTTGTGTGTCGACTATGTACTCTACCTGACGAAGTAAGTACCTACGAAACCTTTATTTTACCATATTTAGTATGGCGTTTCCGATAGGTAGATCTAGTGCGGAACTAGTGCAATTTTTTCTATTTCTGTCTTTTTCTTCTACAGGTCGATTTAAAGGATGCAAATACACTCGACAGTGCGCACTGAATCTACCAATCGAAAACACTATTAGACTACGTCTCCTCCGCACTCCGCACTTCCAGGGGGCACTGTGGTCTGTGATGATGGCCTAGGGCCGAAAGCGCTTTGCACCAATTTTTATAAATATAATTTGCACGAAGTAAAAAGTCTTTTCCTTCCCCTTCTCAATTCTCATAAGGCCTGTGTGGAACAAATGTCCCCCAGTCCCCCCGCCAACCCAACATGCCAAATCACCACTTGTGACGTAGACAGCATGTTATTTCTCGCCTTGACGTAGGCTGTTTAGTTTAAACAGCTGATGACTTAAGCCGCTTTCCAACTGTGTGCTTCAAGCACGGTGCAGCACAGTGCAGTGTTCTGTGTTTGAAACGCAAAAGTTAGCAGCTCTCGAAGCGCAGTACGGCTGGAACACGAAAATGCGCTTGAAGCATTTGCGCGCGCAAAAGCTCGATTGCGTGCTCAAAAGCGTCAGCTAAGCGGCTCTAGTTATGACGTCAGAAATGGTAACACACCAATATGGCGGCTATTTTAAGATAGAGAGTTTTTAGTTTAAGAAATTATTTGTAGAAACCCGAATGTTTGCAAAAGTTTTGATTTCTTTGTGATTGTTATTACCTTTACTTACCAAACAATTAGATATCCAAGATTTGTTTCCTGTTTAGTTTTTTCCTCAGACTAATAATAAAACTTATTTAGTTGTTAATCTGAGGTTTTTTCTTACCCAAATCCTGAATCATGTTTATTTTATTTGTGTGCTATTCGAGGTAACGACACAATTTGAGGACGAGGTGGAGGATATAGGTAGTACTAAATGGCTTGGATCCATACATCGTTTAATGTGCATAGATTTTTTGGTTTTAAGTAGCGCGGCGTCGAGTGACAGACATTTAAGGCTACCCTAATATTCTGATAAAAAAACGGGACATTTTTATGAAGCAGATGTTTCATGTATTTAAGAAAAAATAGCGCCGCAGGCGAATTTCTATTTTTTCGGGACCCCGCCCGTAGGTCGAACTCACAGATAATACACACTACTACTACAGGCAAGCCTATCCTCATAAGGCCTGTGTAGAACAAATCTGAAGCCCCCTACCACAGCCCCTACCCATTGAGATATTATATAAAAGGAGACGCTGTTGCCGTATACGAGTATATATGCATTGATAACGGGATCATTAGGAGCTTATTCCAGCACCAATATGCCCAGCCAGCAACGGTACGTCATATTGACGTCCTTATATGGTGATAATTCGTCAATACTCGTCACCTGACCAAAAACTGACGACATATTGACGTGTGATAAATGCCGTTCAAATGACGTGCTTTTTATCACGTAATATTGACGCGTTTTTCTGGTGATAAATGTAATACACATTGACGTCAATATATATCATGTAATATTCACGTATTTTGCTTGTGGTTCAGTAAACCTGGTTTTTTGAATTAGTTTTTTTTTTTCAATGTGTTTTGAATGTATTCCTAGAATTCCTAGGGTTGTGCCGTGTATACTGTATTCTAT